TAAAGCTCTTGCTCGTAAGGGGACTTAACTAGCTTTTGAGATGGCATCTTTTTGCTAACGTACTCGATTGGCCTCAACTTGTTTCCCTCCTATTGTGCAATGACCGTGCCAATGCCATATTGCCTGATGTCACTGGTCACAACAAATAGCTTCTCAAGATCGGGAAGCTTTAAGGCCTCATGATGCGTGAGAGCATACTTCAATTGCTTGAAGGCTCTCTTGCAGTCGTTTGTCTACTCCCATGGTGTGTCAAGGCGTGTGGCATCAATCCATGGGGAAACTATAGTACAATAATTCTTAAAAAAAGGGTGATGGTAGCCCGTCATCCCCAAGAATGACCTCACCTCAGTCACGGACTGAGGTCGTGGCCAGTCAAGTATGTTGGCGACCTTCGCACTTCAGGCCTCATCCCATGTGCTGAAATTTCATGACCCAAATACAAGATTTTGGTTCGACCAAACTCGCATTTCTCCAAGTTAATTTTGTACTGGTGATGACGAAGTAGACTGAGCACCAAGTCTACGTGCTTCGCGGGCTCCACCACAGTCCTACTGAAGATAAGAATGTCGTCGAGGTACACGACAATAAACCTATCCAAGTAGTCATGAAAGAGTATGTTTATATCGTGCATGAATGTTCCAGGAGCATTGCATAAGCCGAAAGGCATGGCCACAAACTCATACAGACCGTACCTGGTTTGGATAGCGGTTTTGGTCTGATCCTTAGGCCTAATAGCAATTTGATGGTACCCAGGGTTCAGATCTATCTTGGTGAGGTACCGACATCCCTGCACTTTGTCCAATAGGTCATCGATGCGAGATAGGGGCTCTATGTTCTTAACAGTGATGGCACTGATGCCCCTATAGTCAATGCACATCCTCAGGGTTTCCCCTTTCTTAGGAACAAACAGTACTGGCACACTGTAGGGGGACGTACTAGGCCGAATCCAACCTTTTTCTGTGAGCTCCTTGAGCTGTCGACAAAGCTCATCTAACTCCGCTGGAGACATCGAATAGCCCCCGAGGCACTTTACTACCTAGAGCGATCTCGATTGCATGGACTACCTCCTTCTCAACAACCCCTCTAGGTTCCTCCTGACTCTCTGACTTGAGCCCAGGCGTCGAAGTTACGACCGTATCCGTCTTGCTGTACATACCCATCCAACCACCTTGCTGCAGATCCCTATAAGTAGGATTCAGCCACGATTACCTCTTGCAAGGGCCATGTAAGCTTGTACGTCACATAAGTCGGGACTGTCCTCAACCATGTATTGAGGCTCTTATCCTTCTTCTTGCCTCCAGAAAACGGTTTGGGAGCTGCGAACGGTATATTTGGAACCCACTGTGGTTGTGCCCCAGATCCTTGTGCCTGCTGAACCGGTGGCTGTACCACCTGAAAAGGTTGCCGAACCAGCTGCAGGAGCTGCAGGGGTTGCCGAACCGGTTGTAAAGGTTGCTAGACTGGCTTCTGCCCTGTAGCTGCAGCAGCTGGCAGAAAAGATGAGGAAGCGGGTACAGGAGTCTGCCAACTAGTACCTAACGATCGACCGCCCTGTTGAACAATGCCAAACTGAGGTACAAAGGGACCTCTCAAATGTGGTCCAGCTGCCATCGGAGGAGCTAGTGCCGGCTGTGCACGCCTAGGCACAGTCCTAGGACCTCTCAGCGCTGCCAAGATCAGGACCTGGCCTACTATATGAGCGGACAACATGTCCAGCTGCACGGCCTGAACTTCAGACATGTCCAGCAGACTTGCCCGAAGTGCCCCGACATCAGGACTGAGTGCTGCCTCGTCCATATTCGTTAACCTGTTCAAGTCCTCCTCCCTCGCCTCAAGTCTGGTCTTCTTCCTTCTAGCTCTTTGTCTTCTATCCTCTACATCTCATAGCTGGCCTTGTAGCAGTGCGTGCAGGGGATCTGCTCGCTGGATGCAAATCCTCTACTGGCAGTTGAGGTTGCTGGCTGTACTGCGAGCCAGCAAACTGACTAGTTGACGGCCCTGACGTACCTTGGCTAACACCTGATGAAGAAGCCTAAGACATAGCCTGCGCTTGCGAAGTTGCAGATGCCATAGCCATGGCTGCTGCTGCGTCAACTCTAGCGCGTGCAACTGCTGTTGCTGCTGCTAAAGCTCTCTCTGCCTCAGCTGCTGCTACGCTCGCAATCTGCAAACACCGCCTCTCTGCTGCTTCTTGCTGTAGTCTCCTTTCCTCCCCTGGCCCTAGAATCAGGTAAGTGATCGGCTGACTAAGTGCTCCCAAGTGGGTAGTCCTCTGTCCCCTATCGCCTAATCTCTCACTGTTGCTGTCTTGTCCACTCATCAGCTAAACCCATATCACAATCTGCACTAATGTCCTCGCTGGAACCTACCACAGCATAGCGTCCGACCGATGCTAAAAATAAATGAAGTAAAATAAATATTCAGTCCAGCTTTTTCCGGAAGCGGTCAAGCAGTATCAGCAAGTATGTTCAGACCCCTATACACAACTCTATTCCTATTTTAGTATTTTGAGTAGTCCTAAACAGATGCAATACAGAAACAGAATAACAAACTGTTCTACCTACAGCAGTCTGTCACATCTAAGTAGTGAAAAGTAAAAATAAAATATTTTGCAAAGAATGCATGCTGAATGGAAATTTCGCGGAAATCGACAAATGAACAGCCAACTGGAATCCACCCGCCCTCTTGATCATTCTTGATTGTCACTTGCTTGTCAACGTCCTGAAAGCATCGGTTTGAGCGCTGTGTCTAAAGGTCGGTTTCAGCGCTGTGTCTAAAGGTGTGCACACGGCCCACCCCCGTGCCCCAGGTAAGTGCAGAATTGGTCAGCCCCTCTGTACTATTTTTAAACTCGTGTACAGCGCAAGGTGATTGTCCCCGCTGGGGGTTCCTTATGGACGGTTTGGTACTCGTCGATCCCCCATAGGGCTGGCCTGCCCAACACCACCTCTACTGCGCAGCAAGAGCAGGCAAAGGACAAAAGCAGCAAAGCATGCACACTCTACTCCCATGGGTTGGCATGGTGACCATGACACGTGCTTTGTCCGGGGCCCTTCAGACAGCTTTGCCCTCTCCCACCAGCATGCTCCCCAGGAAGAATGTCGACTCTCAAGGTAGAGTGCACTCGACTCCTCACGATGACAGGACTCTCAAAACCAGACACACTTCCTCCCGGTAAGAAGCACTGAGGAAGGTAGATAAGGTAAGGAGCAACGTACCTCACTTTGCTGCCCCCAACCACAGATTTCTCACCAGTTGACCTGACATGCATTTATGATGGCCGGTTGTTGCCTCGGCACAAGCCACAGTGCAATGCAGTTCCACCTCGGCTTAAATGCCATGTCAGTGAGCTCTCATCACACAGCATACACCCCTATGTCACCACATAGCCTTTCAGGCGCGCCGACACGACACTGGGCCGCCTATCAAACCAGCCCCATACACTGCAGTGCATGCTCATGGCACAGCACCAAACAACCAATGCACTGGAGCCAGCGGAGCGGCTTGAACCAGCTCCGATGCCAAATTGCAAGGAAAATGAGCAAGAGCGAAATGACAGAATTCCAAATTGCAACATCTCATTGAAAGCCAGATAGTCGTGAGCTGTCCAGAAAGAAGAAATGCACCAATATCACACCAAAGGGGACCAAATCTGCGAACTCAATTGTCAACGTCAGCCCTTATCTCGCCACCATCAACAAATGTGTTCAATGTCTCTTCTCCCACTTAGCGCTCAGCGCCCAAACTACGATCGGACAGCCCCTATACTGGCCTAGGCTAATGATGACACAACCGAAAGACTTTAGCAGAAGAACCCAAAGTACAAGCAGACGTCGCCCATGCAGATCTCCACAACAAACCAGGTACGTTCTCTCCCTCTCACTCGCTTAGCTCACCCTCGTCTTCACCCACATCCTTGTCCTCATACCCAAAGACCACCACAATACCCCGCTAGCTGTCAGGTGCCTCAGCCCGGCTATGGCCGCTTGAGCACCAGCGCTGCCTCCCAGCAGCGCTCTACACCTCCCAAGCCTGTGTGCATCCTGGCAGAATAGCGCAGCGGCGTTCCAAGCGCTAGAGCAGCAGGACTGCTGCATCACCACGTACTGCCAGAATGACCAGCCAGGAGGTGGGCACTTTCCCATATGGAAAGTGCTTGCCTGTGAGGGCAGCCTGGGACTAGCGACCGTGTGCCCAGTAGCTTCACGTTGGGCCAAAGTGTCTGCGCCCAGGCCCAATTCAGATAGAGGCCTGGGACAGAAACAGTTAGGCCCGCCCAACCGTACGACGTGGCCTGTGTCATTCGCTGCGTCCTGATAGGCCAGAAGGCCTTCTTCCACGTTGTGCCTGGAAGAGCCTAGAAGGCTCACAATTTCTTGGTTGCTTAGCGTGCAGGGCCCGTCAACCAACTGGCGCCCAGTAACTGTCTGGCGCTCCCAAAGGCCCTGATAATGTCAAAGTTAAGGCCTTAGGCTCTTGGAGAAAAGGCCCTGATAATGTCAAAGTTAAGGCCTTAGGCTCTTGGAGAAATGCAGGTCCGCCTTCACTTAGGGCGGGCACATTGCTCGCAGCTGGGCCCTTTATGAGCCTGCCGAGGATGAAAATCCTTGCATTTTCCCGCCACACAGGGATCATGAGCCCAGTGAATGTCTCTTGTAGGAAGACTATGCCTGGTGGATGTTTGGAGAACCTACCCTGGTAATCAAAATCAACACGAACAGTGTCTAATTTTCAGACATTTGACGACAATGGGGGATTGGTTTGTCTGTGTTTGGGGGAGTGAAGGGGGAAGTTAAGTGGTTGATCTAACTGGTATTGTTGATGATTGACGTGATTAGTTTTAAGATACTCAACAAAAAAGAACGACAAGGTTGTGTACACCTCAACCCTTCCATCAACACTTACAGCAGCAAAGTGGCCACCTTTGGCCTTACACTACATGTGTAACATAGACCTCTAGGCAGAATTGGCGGTGAATAGCGTGAAATCAAGTCACTTACAAGCTGACTCAGGCCAAGACCCTGTGATTCGCAGCCCATATTGTCCCTTCGCTCCATCATACCCATCAATGACCTGCGAATAGGTGTCATTTCAGCAGAGCAATTCCTTGACTGTTACCCAATCACAGGACAGAGTGCAGAAAAGCAGGGTGGGAGTGAAAACCAAGGCACTAGAGAACCTCAAGGATCTGAAATCGAACTAACCTGGCACAAATCAAACTTGTGGAAGATGGAAGACATTGCAAGAATGAAAAACGACACTAACGATCCAATCAAGATGAGTACGGCAATGTTGATAGTAAGAAAATGCAGAGAGTCCATTTCTCGGCCTCTTCGGAACATTTTGATATTAGGGTCACAGAGTGTAAGAACTAAGCAAAATGGGGCTCTCTCTTCTTAATAATGTCCAGGCTTGTGCTTCCTTAGCTTGAACATAGCAGGCCAGGCCCTAGTGCAGCTACTCGCTGCGATAGTCCTTGCATGGTGCTCGCCCACGCAGATAGAGTCAACTTCTGGATCTATTTCTGGGCTGCAGACACATCTTTCCACTGGGCTCTCATCATTTTCATGATGATAATGCAAGGAGTGTTCTGAAGCCAGTCATGATATGTTTCCTTGTTGTACCCTTTGTTTGCAGCCTCAAAACTGCCACCATGCGTTGATGTGGGTTTCCAGTAAACTGCCCAGATGAGTTTAGAATACCATCTCTCCCAGCCAAGCAACAATGTCTTGCTTACCACTGTTTTTTTTTTTCTGGCAGAGGCATTGTCATCTTATCATCAGGTACAAAGATTAATCTGGAGTTAGGGACATTCCTGTTAGGACTCCTGCCGAGGTTGAATAAGGGGTGGGAGCCCATTCTGAGTGCTTAACTTATCGTGATCTTCTTATAATCTTGTTCAGGATGTGCATGTGTTCATCTGCTGTGTCAAGTATGCTTCGTGTACACAAAGGATATTTGGTGGGTTCTTAAACTTCTTATCCATCCATCTTGAGATGGCTATGACGTCATGCTATTTGCCAAATCAATATAGTCGTCAGGTCATGTACATTTCATTATCTTATTTCTAGCTCTCCCCCAAGCTTGCTTTCTGCTCTATGTTGCAAAGATCCTTGTAGCTATAGGGAGGGAAGGCTGCGATCATGGTGGTTACCAGTCTAGGAAGGGGCATGATCGTTTGCATCCTCTGTTGCCATATCGCCCAGCGGGAAACCTTTCTGCTAATTTAACAAGATTTGAGGCCATTGTTAATGTTATACTTGCTGCAGTGAGCACCGTTGTTGTTCTCGAGCTGGTTGAGCTACTCCTGTACAAGGTCTCCATTACATATTCACTCCCGGACTTACTGGCCTTTCATCCAAGTTGATCCCTTCCCTTGCCTCTCTTCTTTCTCCTAGCTCCTATACTTTGAATGTTCATCCGACCGCTCCAATTGCAATTTGGTTCATCTGACTTCATCACCCAATATCGTATTTTGCATGAGTTTATTCTTGTTCTGTGACGGGGCTAAGGCAGAGCAGTGAGGCCGGGGAAGAGAGACGGAGGGAGTGAGAGCACACACACACACTAACTCGGCTCGACACGGACTCGACACGGACTCGACGGATGCAGACACAAAGTGGCAAAGTGACAAAGTCGCAAAGTCGCAAAGTCGCAATCTTGGTTCCGAACACAATGTCGCAGCAAGTCACACTGAAGCACAAGCACTGAGGCCGAAAACTGAGTCCCCCAGCAGGGCTTGAGTCCGGTCTTAAGTACCGGACTCCAGCTCATTCCGGAGGGCCGAGGTGCGGCTTGCCTCAGGACTGAACTGAGAGTCGCAGGTCTGAGCCTGGGCGCCAGAATGCCGGATGGCGCCAAGTATCGAAATCTAAAAATGCCAGAGGCGGTATCTTTCCCCCTGCTGACAGCAGATGGCAAAAGATGGCAACGGGGAAAGAAGCCGGCAACCCTACAAAGATCAATACCATCCCCCTGAACGATTCACGGGTTATAAGGGAGGAGAAAGCAAGGGAAGACTTGTTATGGGTCTTGGATTCAGTGAAGGAACAGGCAGAACAGGAGTACTCCAAGGACCCAGAAAAGTTTCAGAAAAAAACACAGGAAGTAGTTGAAAGCAGAAAGAATGACGAAAAAGGAAAGGTGGAAGAGCAAGAGCGGACCATCCAACAAACTGAGAGCAAAAGAACTCTGGACATTAGCCCCAATCAAGAAAGAGGGCAATCGGACTCCAAAAGGAGGAAAGCGAACAGGGCTGAAGGGACTCAAATTGAGGAGGAGGATGTGACAGACCCGCACATCACCGAAGCCCAATTCATGGATAAGGATGCAGACTCGGCTATGGAGGAAGAAGACACTGACGATAGCAAGAGCTCAAGTGGCTCGGCTACCATCAATGATCAGGCGCCCCCTCCCAACAGGTCTCTTCAATGGCTACATGAGTACATTGAGAAGGTCAAAAGGGAGAGGGAACACCTCTTCAACATCCGGACAGCCTGCCTGAAACACATAGAGAGGAATAAGAAGCAAGGCACAGTAGCCGGTATCCAAAAATCAGCAAACAATTTTGAAGTTTGAACTGCTTGAACAAGAGTTCTCAGAGTACGACGCCTTCAGGTACGCAGAGAAAAGAAGAACCAGAGAACAGAGGAAGTCGGGCACTAAGGAAACAATCAAGGATTCAGAAGAACCGTTCCAAGACCTGCGCCCAAAGGAATGGAAAACCATCAAAGCACACAAAAAAGATGACCAGAAGTCTGGCCAGAATGAGAACACAAGGAAGACAGAGCGCATTGAGCTTGAAATCGATCTTGTTGTCATTGAGGCGCAAACAGAAAAGTTGAAGAAACTCGACGCTGCGTATGAGCCAGAATTCACATCTCTGCGGCACATAGTTGACGGCAAAGCCCCACACGTGTTGCAACAAGCCAAATCCACCAGACTCACCATGATGCGTCTACGGCCCCTATTAGCTACAAGATATGTCGAGGAGACAGGTGAGTGGCAGGTGGCCACAAATGTTTCCTTTGCACTCCCACACTTTGAGGAGAGACAAAACTTGATGGCAGTAATTTGTGAGAAAATTACTGCTACGTGCCCGCTGGGTGTTTTTGTAACAGAGGGGTCAGACAATTTCACCGGGCCACACGAGACGAACTCGAAGATCTGCAAAAGACCACGTTTGATCCAGCTGAATCCCGACTGACTTCTTTCACTCCTCTGATTGCCAAGATGTCGAAGAACGCAAGACTCAACAGGGTTATGATGTGGAGGTCCTGGCGTACGGTATCTGCAATCCCGTACAGCGTGCTTTCAAGCTTGGGAATCCCAGTGGAGCTCTCGGCTGCTTCGCTGGCGGACATCCTCAGGGAGGGCACACTGGACGACGATGCAGACCTGGATTCTAGAGCTCTTGCCCTGGATTTGGACTGTTTCTATAGAGACGACTTCCAGGAGGATGACGTGGAAGTCTGGGCCGGCGACGAGCGCACAGATCAGGAACCCATGGGGTCCCTAGGGAGACAGGTTAGCGGGAGTATAGGGGAATATAAGATAGATGACCCTGCAAAGGAGTCCCCAATGGCAAAAAGTGACAAAGATAAGCCCCCTACCTAGGGTTTCGGGGCCAGATACCCCAATGTTACCCAGTAGGGATACTGGATGGAGGACTTCAGGAACACAACCAATCAGCAGGCCCCCAAGTCGAATTGGAGAGTACACGGTATAGTCATCCGAAGTTGGAATGTGAATGGCTTAAGCAACATCCTCAACAAAGAAGATAAATTTAATGATATAATTAAGGGTCTTAAGCAGGAAAATAACAAAATTACGGACGTCATAATGCTTCAAGAATCGCACATGACGAACAATATAGAACATCAGAAACTACAAAAAGTATTTATGAGAAGATTAGGTGGGATCAAGGACGCAATCTGGGCGTCAGACAGTGCAACAAGCAGTAAAGGCACAACCATTCTAATACCGAAAAAACTCTCAACTCTACAAGGGTGGCGCAGTAATCAATACAGGTAAGGATGATAATGAGGGAAGGGGTGCCTCATGGACTTGAGGTGGAAGGAAGAAAAGTTCAGACTAATCAATATCTATGCTCCTAACGACAGGGCCGACAAATCTTCATTCATCCACTCCCTAGGGCAGCTGATCTTGCCTCTACAAGCCTGCATAATAGGAGGAGACTGGAATGCCACGCTAGACCCTGTTAATGACCGTATTTCAAGAACGGCCGCATCTCAGTCTTCCCAAGAAGCGACTCCCATCCAGGAACTAATTATGGACCATAGTCTGGTGGGCCCGTTCCATACCCTACACCCGTCAACAAAAGGTTTCTCACTAGTGAAGAAAAACCACGGCCGCCACACGACCTTCTCTCGCATAGACTTCTTTCTTGTGTCTGACCACCTCATGGGAACAGTCAAGGAAGCTGACATTTTGCCATTGGCACCCTACTCGGGTCTGGACCACAAACCAATTCAACCGATCGTCAGCTTCAACCAATTCATCCAGAAAGGACGGAGCTTCCACAAATTAAACAACTCCCTCCTACTGAGTCAAAAATTCATAGGGTGTATGGAGGAGAACTGGAAGAATCTAAAAGGAAGCTTCATCTTAGGGGGGGATAGGTGGCAATGGTTCCAAAATAGCTACTTGACGCTAGCCAAAACAACTGCTAAAATATTGAGGAAAATGGCCAACGACAGGAAAAGACGAAATATGATGCTCGAAACTGCCTTGAAAGTAGCGGAGAGTAATTTACTCATCAATCCGTCTTATTTGATGTATGCGGATGTACTACAAAGAATGAAAGAAGAACTTTGGACATGGCGCCTGTGGAAACTCAGAGGGCTCCAAATCAGAGCCAGAATGACGGATCTTGAGCTCAACGAACAGATGTCCAAATATTTTTTTGCTAGAATAAAGGCAAATAACCACTCTAGCTCAATAGAGGGGCTTAAGGAATTAAGGGGCCAACATTTCACCCGTACAGACAGCGAAGGGATGCTTGAGGTAACAAAGGATTTCTATGAAGAGCTCTACAGTTCTAAGACCCCTTCAGATATTCCTACAAATATCCGTACTGCTAAGGCCAAAATGCTACAATACCTGGGCAGAACAATATCGGATTATCAAGCCAAAAAATTGGACAAACCGCTATCCCTTGGAACATGAACAATAACAAGACTCCGGGCTTAGATGGTTTAACAAAGGAATTCTGGGAAAAATGTTGGCCTCTAATAGGGTTGGACCTCATGAACTTTTATAACGACAATTGGGAAAGAGAAGGGATGGGTGAAATCCTCAGTACCAGTGTGGTCACACTACTCTATAAAAAAGGCGACCGGGAAGACATTAAGAACTACAAACCAATTTCTCTTCTCACACTCCCCTACAGAATTCTGGCCAAGGCAATGGCTTACCGCATACTGACCCTAACAGACAAGTGTTTTCACATAGACCAGTCCGGATTCATACACGGAAGATACATCCTAGACAACGTAATGACCCTCAACGAAGCCTCTAGGAAAGTTGTAGAGAAGAAAATTAGGACAACGATTCTCTTTTTCGACTTCGAAAAAACCTACGACCATGTAAACTGGGACTTCCTAGATGCGAGTATGGAAACGATGGGAGTAGGTTCCAACTTCAGGAAATGGGTACGTGTTTTGTATAACAATGCCTCCGGCTGTATTCAGATTAACAGACTGCTTTCCAAAGGCTATCCAATCTCCAGATCAGTAAGACAAGGCGACCCATTAGCTCCGCCTATCTTCCTCTTTGTAATGGAAGCCATATCATCCTTTCTCTGTAAGGACCCTTCTATCCAAAGGCTGCCGGAAATGAACGTGGGGTCTGCGCACAACATACATTTTCCTATAGTAATCATGTTCGCGGATGATTTGACGGTCTTAATCAGAGCCTCCAACTCATCAATGGCTGCCCTGGTCAGGGCAATGCAAGCCTTCAGACTAGCCTCAGAAATAAAGATAAATTGGGGCAAGACTATAGGTTGGTGGCTTTCAGATGAACCGGTGCCACATCTCCAAAGCCCGGAGAGCCAAATGTCATGGGAGAGGCCAGAGCTGCCAACGAGATATCTAGGAATCCAAGTAACGAGAGAAGGCCCAGCACCCCAGATGGCACCAAACCTTCTAGCCAGCCAAATTAATAAAATGGGGAAATGGAGTAAAGCGTTCACCTCAATAATGGGCAGAGCACTGACCATCAACACTTCCATATTCTCAATGATGCGGTACATTGCCTCGATCTGGACTATACCAGATCAGACAATCAAAAACCTGAATAGGAAAGCCAGAGCCTACCTGTGGGCAAGTGACCCGAACAGAGAGAATTACATCCCTACGATAGCCTGACACTTTATCACAAGGAAACCATCCCAGGGAGGACTGGGTATCATAGATCCCAGACAAGAGACAAAAGCCCTCAAAATAAAGTGGGTAGTCAAGTTGCTGTCTAAACAGTCTTTGCCCTGGAACAAGCTTGCACAAGACAATATTAGAAGTGTGGCCCCGATTAAGTCCCCTCCAAATATGTCCGGACTGTTCTGGGTGATGAACAAAGACTGGATTCCTAAAGGTCAAAGAGGCCAGAGGAGACTAACCCCCACCCAGTCCTCTTACCTGTACTGGGCTGCTCTGCTACGGATCTGGAGAGAGATCATGCCAGAAAAGCTAGGCAAACCAAGATCCAAAGAAGAAGTGCTCAGGCAACCTCTCTTTGGTAATCCGTGGATTAAAGATGAGGGGGATCACCCATGGACTTTGTCCAACAGAGGCAACAGATGGCTATCCTAGATCAAACAAGGTGTTTGGCGAGTAGGTGACATATGGAATGAGGATAAGAAAAGCTGGTTGGACGAGGCGGACCTCAAGACCCGCTTGAAAGGCTGCCATCACAGGGACGAAAACCTCCAAAAGATAATACAGAGCATCCCGTGTAGCTGGATAGATATTCTAAAAGAAGAGTTCACATGGAAGCCAGGCGAGTGGGGAGTCCTGGTCCAAGAATCCTCCCCAGTCAGAGCATACCAATTCTACCACCGACAGTCCACACCTGGTCCAAGGGATGTATTCACTTCCTTCCCAATTTTGAAGACTAAGCCAGATGAACAATACATCCAGAACATCAATCCTGAAAAAGCAGTGCTGGATGCGTTCACGTTGCGGAAAATGAGGACGCTAGGTCTCTGGCCTAAACTGATCTTCCAAATAAACACAGCAATCCAAGACCTGGAGTTCGACCCATCAGAATGGGCATGGCACCCGGAAAGAAATAGAACGGCCAAACCACCAATTCCAATATATGATTATACAGTTAACCTGGGTTATAAGATGCTGTTAAAAACAAAGGACCTAGACCCAACAATCAAGGGAAGATGGAGCAAGTTAATTGGATCAAAGGCAGACCAGATAGCAAAAATCCCATGGAAGAAGTACAAAATGATAAGACCTATAAAAATCAGAAGCATGCAATGGCTCATAACCTATTTGGCTCTACAGGTTAACCAGTGGCTATATGTCAGAAGAAGAAAGAACGACCCAACCAGCTCTGATGTATGTATAGTCTGCTCTGATCAGCAATAGGAAGATGTGATACATTGTCTAATTAACTGTAAAGAAGCCACAGAGTATTGGGCAAGAGCATCAGCACTTTGGAATAGTCTATTCTCATCTCCCCTCCCAGAGCACCCCCTTCAACTGCTCCTATGGACTAACTTACCCTCTAACTTCGGCAAATCAAAGAAAATCTGGTTCGGGATGGTGCGCAAGATCACTCTTTGGGCCATTTGGAAGGAGAGGTGCACCAGAACACTGGATGGCACGAAGAACCCAAGAGAGAAAGTGTGGGCGGCAACCAAAGAGATGATTGAAGCGGAAATCCTATGTCAATGGAGGAAGGTGAAACTCCGGGTGCAAAACAGTCCAGAGACAGAACAGGTGACACTTGCCAAATTCAGACGGGTCTGGTTGGTTGATGGCAAAGTGGCTTGCCTAAATGGGCACGCTTTAAGATGGAAAGAGGGGCATAACTCTGTCAAGTCCGTAGGCCAGATGATTACTCAGGTACACGAAGATTCCTCCCCAATCTGAGCCTAGATGAACATCAAAGAGACACTTATGGCAGGCGACAGCAGAGTTTTCACAGGGAATAGATGGAAAAATAGATTAAGGCGGTCTAGGGTTTAGGAGCAGGCTAGGAGCAGAAACAAGATATGCAGGGAGCAGAAGGATAGAGGTTAAAAAAGGGGTTTAGGGTTCAAAGATTCAAGGGGTTCAGATAGGGTTTGGGGTTCAAGTGTGGCTTTTTAAAAGCATGAGTAGGAGAGCAACAGTGGTAGTCCTGAAGTCGAGCCTTCATAATTAGGAAAAGATACACAAGATTGCCTGGGTTCTAGGGTTTATGAATTAGGAGTCTTGTTAGAACTATAGCTCAGGGTTTAGGGTTTAGGGTTTAGGGTTTAGACAATCAAGGCAAATAGGGTTTAGACTGGAAGGGATCTCACGAGGCACATGGGCGGGGATCAGAGTTTAGACAGAATTGGCAGCCTTTGTAGCGTCCAGGCCCTTTCTTGCCATTTATGTTCTATCTGACAGGCCATTATAGTGGACCTGAGAGGAAAGGGAGAAGCACGGCAACCGGACAGTCAATCCTCCACGATGCTGGAGTAATCAATGATGGTCAGGGTTCCTTCAGTCAGATGGAAGGAAGCGTATGTGGGTTCATGATGTAAAATTATTCTGACTTGCCGGTGGAATAAGAACCGGATTGATGCTCCCCAGAATGGAAATGGAGCCAGGACCATAAGGACCAAAAAAAAACAAAAAGGGATTTGAGAACGGGCGCCAACTGCAGAGGGCGCCAACAGTCAGGAACCGGAGATCAGAGACTCAAAAAAAAAAAAGATAGCAGCCTGGCAGGTGGTAACCTGCGGACCAGAGATTGAGTCCTGGCTGAGTCCGTAACATGTTCTGTCCTTTTTTCCAGTCTTGGGAGAGCGAAGTTGGGTGTTGTTGCAATCTGCCATTCTTTTGTGGTTATGTCCATTTTTTCTAGCATCACCGTTCTAGATGGCATGGCAACGCCTGATGGACATGTGAATTCAAAGAGCAAAGTGTAAAGCATATAAAACCACTGCATAATTTTTCTTCTTGAAAGAATTTTTGTCACTTGGCAAGGGGTTTGCAGCATTCAGTGTTTCAAGGTGAAGAGTGTCTGATTTCACTGAGTTTCAAGGTGAAGAGTGTCTGATTTCACCGAGTTTCAAGGTGAAGAGTGTCTGATTTCACCGAGTTGGCTCACAATGTAGTAGGTTCGCCCTGATTTCAGTCGTAGATCAGTGATCATGCTCTGCGAGTTGCACTCATCATCGCTGCAGGCCAGTTCCTCTATTTGATCTTCTATAATTTCCACGACAGACAAAGTGGTATCAAACATGGTGGCAGAACTGCAGAGGCCCAGTTCGACTACCACATCCTGAGGAGGTGTATACGCATAGATGACATCCGGTGCTGGACTGTGGCATCCTCCTTGATTCCTGACATCCACGTAGTCCTTCGTATTATCCTCGTGATAGAATGGTATCTTTGGTATCTTTTTAGGGTTCTCAAAGCTCCTTCCACAGGTCCTACAGATGGCTGTCACAGAAAGAATACCACACGACATTGTGTCACAGACTCACAATGGAACGCACAGATTTTCAGAACAGTGTGAGCGGGAATGGTGTAGGCCTCACACGCACACAGAGTAAGAAAAAGAAAGAACAAGATGGGCCAGTGCGGCTTCGCCCGCATGACAAAGTTGGTCAGAGACCCATCACTAACTCTGACAATCACGGAAAAAAAACTGATTCCTTTCGTGAAACAATAACAGACACACATTCCTGTGAATTGGTGGCTTACAGGAAAAAAAAATAAAAAAGGAACAGAAAAGCAAACATTCAAAGGCGCGCAGCTGCGAACTTTGGGTCACAAGAAGGCACTCAGAGCAGTGTATGCGCCCAAAAAAGAGATTGGGACCCAGTCTACCTCAGCGGTTTAATGCACACATGCACACACATATAGCAGTCTGTTACAGTCATACTTTTTTGTGTGTGGTGTTGTGCATAGCGAAATAACAACACACGCACAGCCTTGCTAAGCTCTCCGTTTAGGCAGATCGATGCGGCTAGGGTCGCAACCGCAGTAGCGATCATGCCATTGGGTATCCATGGCTTAGTGGGTGTAAAGTGGGTTTTGTGTATGTGACAGATTAGTTTTTCAAACTTACTGCCAGTTTTGTCATGTTTTTTTATGTGTGTCACCATCTCGGCGAAGTGGTCAGTCCTTATCCATCAGGCAAATGCATCCTTTGCAGACAGTCAAGGTTCAACCTCCACAATCTGGCGTTTTATTTTTGTGGAGCTGTGCATAGCGAACCTGTCTGGCACTCTTTCTCTACATAAATACTGCTGGTG